TTAACCAATAACGGAATAAAATGGAAATAATTTTCGATCGAGTTTAAACGAGACTTTGAAATTAAACAATAGAAAAAAAAAAGAGACAGAGAGATAGAGAGAGAGAAAGAGAGATAGACTGTATATACGTATATATAGGAGTCGGTCTACTATGTACAAGGCGCTCAGACAAAAATCTTCAGCACTGAATATCAATGGAGAAAACTGTACAAGAGTTTCAACAACGGTGTACATCAAAATGATAGGATGCTCATCACACAAGAGATACACATCTGTGATAAAGGGTGATAGAAAACTGTAAGAAAAAAAGTAACATGAGCGAAAGAATTGAACATTCGACATTACCTCCTTGCTCCGGAGTTCTGCTCTGTCGTCCCGCTGCCTGTTCTATGATATCATTCAACACCATCACGTCTGCAAAGAGAAACAAGAAAACAACAATTTTAAGAAAAATATCAATAAAAAAACAATCCCTCCACTAACAACAAGTAATATAAAATTCACCTTTCATATCAACCACGGCATGTTGTTGAGAAGGCTCTATAAACGGATTGTCTTGTTGCTTTGCCTTGCCCATGGGATCTTCCAGATCACCCTCCTTAAGGGAGAGGAAGAAAAAAAAAAAAAACATTAAATCCCTTAACATATTTATACGTTTAAATGCGAGATCACCTCACGAGATCCAATTTTTTTCTTTTTTTTCTTTTTACTCACGTAATGGTACTTCTGATTATTATCCGTGATATGTCCATTGACAGACGGCGGCCTGACAGATCTGATCTTCAACTGGCTCTCCTTGGTCATCGGTTTCCCCGCGTTCGCTATGCCGCCGATCAGATCGCCGTGAGACGTGTACGACAAGCGTGAAGCGTGCGACGTGTACGAAGAATGCCTGGACCCAAGATTCGCGTAGTAGACGGGCACAACGATCGTGCCGTTCTCCTCGGACATAGGCGTGACCGCGTTCGAGTCATCCGCGTACGGCAGGTGTTCCTGGGCGTCGAGGAACGTGGACAGCACCAACGGCTTCCGGTCACCGCCGGGGGGCCCGACGAAACGGCCCCTGCCATTTCTGATCGTGAACTGATGGCTACCGCGGCTGCTCCGGCGAAGATTGAACGGTGAGCCAGGCAGACTAAGGCTCGCCTGAAATTACAACAAAGCGGACCACCGCTTTTCTCTCTCACCGTTCTCTCTCGAGCCTCTCTCGAAAAGCGAGTGGACGGTTTAAAGGGGGCGGTTTAAAGGGGGAATGGGGCGAGGTTCTTCCACCTTTTCTCTTTTTTTTTTTTTTTTTTCCTTTTTTTTTTCTTTCCAATACGTTTAATAAACACCCTCGAGACACACCCTATATATGTGTATATATATATTTGCCTATATTCGGCTATAATGAATCTTCCTGCTTCGAGCTAGCTTCGCACCGCTTCGCGTGTCGTGTCATTTCTTCAAGGACTTCAGCGATGGAACCTGTATATAGTCAATAGGGAGGGAGGTCCTGATGACAGGCTTGGATTTCGATAACTCGTTTCTTTCTTTCTTTTTTTCTTTTTTTTTTTTTTTTTTTCTTCCTTTTTTTTTTCATTCCAATACGTTTAATCAACACCCTCGAGACACACCCTATATATGTGTATATATATATTTGCCTATATTCGACTATAATGAATCTTCCTTCTTCGAGCTAGCTTCGCACCGCTTCGCGTGTCGTGTCATTTCTTCAATTACTTCATCGATGGAACCTGTATATAGTCAATAGGGAGGGAGGTCCTGATGACAGGCTTGGATTTCGATAACTCGTGTCTTTCTTTCTTTTTTTCTTTTTTTTTTTTTTTTTTTTTGTGCATAATTCTGCGGTTTTCTTGAGAGTTTGGAGGCTACGTGAAGCTCAAAATTTGTACGTTTACTTATATGGGATTTTTTGAACTTATATGAACTGATGAGAGATCTTTTCTGAGTTGCGAGATGGTTCTAAAGATTGAGATAATTCGATATACGGTATTTTTAGCAACAAGGATGTTGGAGATTCTGTGGATTTTTGGGGCGATTCGTTTCGTTTCGGAAGAATATATCTTGCATCTCGAGTGAAATCAATTCTTAAAGCATCTTTGGAGCAAAGTATATCAAGATATTGATGTTGTTTTTTCATCGGGAAGTGGCACATATTTGCGAAGTGATTTCACGAAATGAAATGCGAAGTGAAATAAAATATATTCCCTTATATCGCGCTCTTGGTCCATCGAATCTTCAAGCATCTTTGAATGATTGTGCGTAATGATCCTCTAATGGCAACGAGATTGGCGTTTCGACGAGAAACGTTTGGAACGCGTGAAACCTTGGACGATCGATGGTGTTTTGATCGACATGAAATTTTGGATCATGGATCCTGTACATCTATTGTAGTACGTACGGTCGGCGGTGACAGACACGTTGTGACACACATACCTTCCGCAGGCTTTCCTGGTAGGCATAAGTAAACTGGCCATTAGCGGCGCGAGAGACCTTAAGAAAAAAACAAGAAAAGATATCTCCTACCAAACGGCTCGTAACGTTGTCTAATATGTACACCAAGGAGGCACTCGATACGGATAATATGTTTATATAAATACTTGCAAAAGCGTTACATACACAAAAGAAGTGACAGAGAGATAGAGATAGAGATAGAGAGATAGAGCATGATGTTAACACACGCAGAGATATAATGATACAACTGTCTTCGCAAACGCATATTAGGGTAAAACGATGTTGATCAAATGCCTTTAAAACGGAAGTAAGGGAGACACGAAGATCCGCGGTATCTTTTATCACTTGTACGTCATGTAATAAACATGATTTGTAGATCTTTCTTTGATCTTTCTTTACATCCTTTAAGTATGAATTATTAGAGATTTCTGAGAGTTATGGTATGTATCTTTAAAACTTGAATTTGTTATGACACAGAATCACTTTTTAAAGATATAATCTTACATTTTGGAAATCTCTAATTAATTTTTATTATCATTAAACGTATAACAGAAAATGAAAATTATAAGTAGAAACTTATCAATCTTCTTAGAATAATTCCCACAGTGGCACTTTTATATAACTTTGACTGTGTTGAAAAAATAACTTTCGATTTCTTTACTTGACTCAAGATCAATGTTCCTATTTATGAACCGAAAATTCGTATCTCCATTCTCTACTACACACATGCGTTACCATGCAAAACGGCACAGAATGAAACGTTCTTTTCTTTTTTATTTCGACAACGATATCGATCCTATTTAAAACACTTTAGACGCGTCCGCGAGTAACCAGACCGATGATGGAAAACCAAAAGGAATGCACGCTGTCAAAAATCATTATACGCCATTCGAAACCAAGAAAGAATCGATGAAGAAAATTCAACGCAACGAAAGCAAGGAGTTCAATAAGCGTCCTAACGAAGTACCAAATTGATCATTATTTAACAATCGATTACAATATGTTACGACAAGCATGCTACAGAGCGATAGACTTTTATGAAGGGGCTCGACTCGTCGCTTTCAACGCTAACTTGAGCCTAAGTGGAACGTTTCCTGATCAGAATTCATCAACCTATCTATCCTTTTCAAGACATTTCGTCTTCACTTCCCTAAACTGCCATCAACACACCGTCAACAAATCCATCATCCTGTTCAGTTTATTCGTTATAGGTTGACGAACGCTCAACAAAAATCTGAATCTACGCCATCCCTGTCCTTGAAACGGCTCGCAAAACACCATAGTGCATAAATGGATAGAACAAAGTTGTCCACATTAATATTCCTCCATGTTTCATTTTTTAATAAATTTTTTAAATATTTCCTTATGCTATAATATCATTAACTTTCTTAGAATATTTATACTTCCTTTTGTCATGATAAATTTTCCTCTTAAATATTGATCGTTACTCTATAAGTACTCTAATAGCTAGTATACTAAACAATTTTCAAATAAAATTGGCGGAGGATTATGTAATGTCCCATGGACAGCTCTGTGCACCATAGAATATAGTCAAAATACGATAGTGGAAGGAAAAATAAAAAAAAGTATTATTTCAATGTTTCATCGACGAGTCGAGTCGAGATCGAACAGCCTCGCGTGAATCGCTCTCGTAGAAGCGAGGTCAAGGGGGACAAGTTCGATTGTAACAGGAGGCAAAAAGAGAGTACATTACGTCAAAGGAGGATAAATCGATGGTACAAAAGAGAGAGACACATCGGCCAGTCAGACACTTACGGCGCTGACTTTTCGCACTTTAGTGGTGGTCGTGTGATTGTTGATCTGTTTCACTCTGTGCTCGCTGACCGATTCGATCGAACGTATGCTCATCCTCTCCTTGTTGTTATCGTCGTTCCCTTTCTCTTGACCAACGAACAATTCGTAGCTGTGACACGAGAAGTCTGATGGAGATTTGACTATCTGGTCAGCGGCGGTCACCGCCGCATGTGCTGCCGCCTCTCGGGCTGCCGCTTGTGCCGCTAATTTGGTCTCCTTTGCCAGGGCCGCTTCCTCAGCTTCCTGTCGTATATTTCATTAAAATATATTTAATCTCTATTAATGTTAATTTGTTTTCGTTAGTTTTTTGTAATACTTTAATGTAAGTATTTGCACACAGTTGTATTGTAACATAATAATTATAGGATTTGGATTGAAACTCGTTCAATCAAAGATAGGTTAGATTCTTCGAGAATTTTTACTTTGTCTTTTTTCTCGACTTTATACTTTATAGCCAAAAAATTTCTAAGATAGAGAAAAGTATTTGCATTTTATTTTATGATGTATGTATCTTGAATTTCTAAAAATACGTCTCTTCCGGAAAAAGAATTGATAATTTAACAGTTGACTAGACATTATTGTAATTAAATCTAATTATATTATATTTGTTATCATTTAGTATCTTCAAATGATTGTAAAAATGATTTATTTTATTGGAACATGAGTGTTATGTACAAATACTTTTTTTTCTAGGCAAATTTTAATTTTATAAATACGTACTCTTATAGCTTCCTCCTCGGCTGCTTCCTCTTCCTCAGCTTTCTTCTGCAATTCATCGTAAGACATCGCGACAATAGCAAGAATCAAGTTGACGAGATAAAACGAGCCAAGAAAAATGATCACGATGAAGAACAACATATGCCATGGGCCGGCCGATCTAAGCACTAACTGGTACAGATTTTCCCAATAATCTTGCGTCATCAGACGAAAGGCGGATAATAAAGCCCAGCCGAAGGTGTCGAAACTCGTGTAACCGTAATTCGGATTTTCACCGTATCCTTGTAAACACGTGTAACCAGGAAGGCACTGCCTGTATTCAACAAATCCAATGATTTACGATGAATAGTAACAAGAATTTGTATATATATATATATATATTTATACTATATATAAGAAAAAAAAAACGAGATAAATTACCCTGCTCCAGATGAATTTCCACACAAAGGCATGTTTTTCGCCTCGTCCACGTACCAATTAGCTAAATAAAATAATCAATTTCAATTTTAATTAGTTTTGAAATTTTTTTATTTGATGGGGAAAAAATGAAAGCTCTTCAATTCAAAATTTTAAGATTTCGATTGTTTATTAATTAAATAACGGATAATTTATTTAATGTAAATAATTTCATTTCATTATATATTATTCTTTATTTATAGAAGAACGTTCATTCGAAGGGAAATAAAATAAGTTTGGAATATTTTTTCCAAAGTTCCAAGGAAAAAGGCTTCGTTTCTGAGGTGAAACTTTTCAGCAACGAAAATACGTCAAGGAATAATAAACTACGTACTTTCATTACTAACGAATCGCTCCCAGTTTTCATCGGTCAGATTGCCCCAGGAGCCGTCCTCGGGAAAGTTCTTTATACACTTTTGCGTGAGCACCCCCATATAAATCTGGAGGCCCATCAGCGCAAAGACGGAAAGAGAGAACATCGTCAAGATTATCACATCGCGCAGGTTCTTCACGGATTCTATCACAGCGCCGACAATGGTTTTCAGACCTGGCGAACGAAACAAAAAAGGGGACCAGATGGATTTGTCAGTAAAACGTCAATGTGCAATATGTTCGACGAAGACGACGTTCAAAGTGGCGGGCATAATTCTTTTGCATATTTATTTTATCATTTGTCTTATTGTATATATATATATATGTATATATATATTTTTTTTTGTTTAACAAACAAGACAACGCTTCTCGTTTCAGCGTGTGGAAAAAGAGAAAAAGATAGATAGATGATAATGGATCGACCGAAGAAACGGATGGAAGGATCATCAAATTAATATATTGTCTCTTTTCTGTAAAAAAAAAAAAAGTGGAGGAGATCATCATCGATGAAATGAAAATGAGGAACAAGAAGGAGATAATAGATGCTGCTAGCAGAAGGGGACAATTGCTTCTTGGAAAATTGAAAAAAAAAAAAAAAGAAAAAAAAATCATGATGTTCAATTTAGGTGGAATGATCTTTGATCCGATGATCGTGTCGAAAGATGCAAGGTTGGCGAGCAAAAAAAATGACGCACGAAAAAAATGTACAGATGATTAATATAGGCGTTTCGTCAGACAGATAGACATAAGTGAGAGATTAAAGAGATATACAGAGAGGTAATTATTATAATAGAATATAGGCGTTGTGTAGGTGATGATATGCGATAGAATGTATGTGTGTAACAGCGAGCCGCGGCAAAAGTGTATATCTATTAAAAAAAAAAAAAATGAATAGTCTCTAAAAGAAAAAAATCTGCGACTACACCCAATTGATCTATTTCACTAAGCATACCTGGTACAATAGCGACAGTCTTCAAGGCTCGGAGGACTCGAAATGTCCTGAGAGCGGCAAGGTTGCCTAGATCTATGCCCATCGTCACATAACTGCAATACACCCGAACATCACACACATTACAGTGATACAAACAAAAAAACAAAACGATTTTAGAAAAAAATAGAGATAGATAGATAGAAAGAGAGAGACAGAGAGAGAAAGAGAGAAAGAGAGAGAAAAATAGTGAAAAAGATAGAAGGATAGAGATAGATATATATATAGAAAGAGAGAGAGAGAGAGAAAGAGAGAGAAAGAAAGAATTAGAAAAGAGAATAAGTAAAAAAAGTATTAAATATAATACTCAAACGATTACTCGCTACCAGATTTTTCTATTGCCTACCAAAACTTCTGCTTTGAAAAACTGCTTGTATAATAATAATAATAATAATAATAATTATAATAATAAAAATAATAATAATTATAATAATTATAACAATAATAATAACAATAATAATAATAATAATGATAATAATAATAATGATAATAATGATAATAATAAGAGGATATATATAAAATATATATATGTGTGTGTATGTATATATATATATTTTATATATATTTTACAGGTAGCTATTACTGCATGCAATCGATGTTGCTCGATATGCCACGGTATCACGGGAATCTAATTGTAAATCATATTTTTTTTCTTTCATTTTATTACTTTTCTACTTTTCTTGTAATAAGGATAATAATAATAATACTAATAATAATAGTTAATAATGACAGGATCAATTTCTAATATAATTAATTAAAAAAAGGTGAACATGGAATATGATATATATATTGTGATATAGTTCTCGTGATGCCGAGTCGCAAACGGATACTCGTTACGCTGTATAAGATACACGTATTTGTCCATCTATCAACAATTACTTAATATGTTATACAGGATGTTCACAGGATATTATTTTTCAGCGATATTTTTATAAATGGTATATATTTGCGAGAAAAATAGAAGAAGACAAATTTCTCGTTTTATATGGATGGTGATGGTCCGAAGAAATTTTTTAAATTTATTACTGTGTATATAACGAATATTTTTAAATTGATTAAATTTAAAAATATTTTTTTCTTTTTTTTACATAATAATAATATTTATTTTACACTTCTCTTGTGTGAAAAAATATATCAACATTTAAAATTGAAATTAAATTGATATTGAATTTATCAATAAGTTATCGTTTAAAAAAATTTATTTAGAGATCACCGTCCTATAAACGTATAAAAAAACGATGAAATTTTGTTTTCTTTAATTTATTTCGCAAATCTATCATTTACAAAAAAGATTCTAAAAACAAATATCATAAACATTCTGTATATATACACATATGTATGTATTATACATAAAATGTATATATATATATACACACATATATAATAATAATGTACTAAATCTACGACAATTAATAATATTAATAAGTGATTCGATCGAATCGACGTATAATACGCTATGCTAATCAACAATTACGATGATTATAAATAAATAAATAAATAAATAAAGAAATAAATAAATAAATACTTTCCGTCTGAGAGTAACTAGACATAATAATTATAATAATAATAATAACAGTAATAACAATAATAAAAATAATGATAATAATAATAATAATAATAGTAATAATAATAATAATAATAACAATATAATGATGATAATAATAATAATAAAAAATCTCTAATCCCTATCTAATTATAAGAATACTAATTCAAGTATTAACTATCATATGTAAGTATTTTTTTATGTAATCGTGTAACTATACGTGTAAATATATGAATATCGTATATACGTATATATACACACATATATGTATATATATACACATGTATATAAATATATTCATGTATTATATTGTACGTGTGTGTAAGTGTATAAGTGTGGTAAGAGAAAATTCGAAGAGTAGAGTATTCATCGCTACACAAAAAATTTGTTCTTTTTTTTTCTTCTTCTTTTTCTTCTTCTTCTTTATTTTTTTTTATTTTTTTTATTTATTTATTTTTTTTTCTAAATAGCTTACTCAAGGTTTCTAGCAAAATATATGTATTAATTATATACGTTTATATATTTATATATAGATAGATCTACGTTCCATAACCTGAACACATTTTAATCTTGTATATTAATTAGCGTTCTCGTGAGTAAACCCTTCTCTTCGCCAACTCTGCTCGTAACGGGGGTCGACGTTCATTCATTCATTCAAAATCGGTCCTGTCGACGCGGTACGGCTAAGATCATCATCATCATTCGTGATATACGAATCTACCCGTGGAACTAAGGAGAAAAACACAAATTGTCTCTCAGGCTGATCGACAATCGAAGCCTGTTCGAAATATTTATAATTATCTTTAATTCTTTTTTCTTTTGGATTATTTTTAATAATAATGAATTATTATTATTATTGTTGTTCTTCTTCTTCTTTTTTTTCTTGTTCTTCTTCTTCTATTTCTTCTTCTTCTTCTTCTTCTTTTTCTTCTTTTTATTATTATTATTGTTATTGTTGTTGTTGTTGTTATTATTATTATTATTATTATTATTATTATTTTTGACAATATATTAATATTTATAATTAAATTATGGGTTAAAATTAACAAAAGACATCGTTAATAATTTTAGGTAGATTCGTGATTTTGTGGGAAAATGTATGAATTTAAATACATTTTTTTTTTCTTAAATTAAATACTTTATTATTTCCGCCACGAAATTTTTCAACGAATCGATTTCAAAAGATTCAACAAAAAAGGAAGAGCTCACGAGATCCATCAGATTTTACCATCGTACGACATATCAATTTAATGATTTTTCTCCTCTTCGATTAGCGCCAATTACAATGCGGTTTAAAATTTATTTTTCTCTTCTTTTTATCATTTTTATTAAGATTTTGATTCCAGTAATTCTAAGGTTTTTCTTCTCTTCTTTCCTTTTCTAATTAATTAATTAATTAGGAAGAAACAGATTTTTAATAATTTTCTTCTTTTATCTTTTTCACTTTAATCAAAAAGCTAAATAAAAAAATAGTTTATTTTACAATTTAAAAAAATATTTCTTTAATATCACTTGTTTATTCTAATTGAAAAAATATTAATTAACGATAAATAAAATTTTTATAAGGTTTCTAATGTTCTCTTTCGTCACACGCTGTACTCTATCGTTTTTATACCATCGTTTTTTTCTTTTTCTTTCTTTTTCCTGCTCGTTTCTTTACATTTCTCTTGATCTCGTTTGCGTTTCTTTTCTTTTCTTTTTCCCTTTCGTTTTTCTTTTCTTTTTTTTTAGTTAAAAAATAAGTTTTTAACTACTCACGCTAAAGCTATAACTACGAAGTCGAGCCAATTCCATGCATCTCTAAGATAGGTAAAAGGCTGCAGAATGAAACCCCTCGCCATCACCTTAACGGCGGACTCAAATGTGTAGATGCCCGTAAATATCACTCTGAAAATAACAAACACACCACTCAGCTTTTAAATTCGATTTCTTTCTTTTTTTTTTTTTTTTTTTTTTTTTTTTTTTT